CTTAAACCTCTGAAGTAGGGTGTTCCTTGTCTATGGTCCACAGATAATATTAGATATTAAGTATTCTATGATTTCAGTAAAATAATAAGTCTGTGGACCATGGACAAGACTTCATTTTTAATTTTTTAGCTTTTATTTTATTTTATTTTTATTTTTTAATTATGTTATGTGTGTCTGCGCAAAAATAAATGGTTTTTCTTTCTTTCTTTCTCTTCGGAATCGCTCTATCTATTGATGAAAATAGCACAAAAAACATCCGCTAGTTTTTGAGTTTATTGCGTTCATAGAAACATACGCGAAAAGGGACAAAATTGACAATATGTAGGAATTTTTACCAAATATAGTTTTATCATGTTAAACTTTTCCAACTTATGACTAAGGAAGAAAGAGAAAACTATTTCACACGATATAAACTAAATAACTGACACTGGCAGTATAGTCACAGACAACACCGTTTTGGAGACTCGGTTGCCAAAGAAAAAAAAAAGTACCCAATTGCAACAACAGACAAACCTACAACATAATTATGTCAGTATGTCACAAAACCAACTTAATATGAATGGAAAATTACTTCGTTTATCAAAGAAATAAAAATAATTATCTTACAATTGCAAAAACTACAGATAATAACCTCATACTGTGGATTGTTTTACTAAGAGTTGGTGATAAGCAAAAGATAACTGTATTACGTGATAATAAGAGCTTGTTTTCAAACATCACGCGGTGGGTGGTGGTTAGTGCTTATACAGAGTGTCCTTGGAAAGTATAGGGCATACTGAACAGGGGCTTTAGGGCACATTTCCAAAAACTTTAGTTCTAAAAATTCAGTAAGTAAGTACTTATATTATTCAACTTTAGAATCGTTAAGTACTAAGTTAAATATACTGAAAAAATATCTACTAGTTTCGAGTCACAGACTCATTCTTATGAGCAGCGTGCGCAGTCTATACAGGTGGCTTACTCTTGAATTCAATTCCGATCGATCGACATTGGTATTGTGAAATTTCATACTCTTGAGTTGTAACACTAGCGCCCATTGCATCCGTATTGCGTGAATATTGAATGAACTAAATGGTATTGAGCTTGACTTTATATTCCGTACTCTGAATGCTATTTTAACAGCTACGATAGGGGTTGTATAGTTTTGACATTGAATAATTATTGAGATTTTATTGGATTGAAATTGCATTAACATTGAGATTGGTTTCAAGAGTAAGCACCCAGTAGGCTGCGCGACATCGCTGCGACGAGAAAAAATTGATTATGGGACTTCAGTTTTAATAGACACCGGACACCAGCGTTCTCTGATGACATCAAAATGCAAGCCCTCTTTTATGGAGGACGCGCATAAACCAGCAGTCCACTCTCAAGGGTCTCTCACAGTTAATGATTATGGTTTGTGATGATCCACGAGCGTGTATCACGGCGGATGGGATCCTAAGAGCTAAAAAGTATGACCAAATATTGCATGATATTTAAAGGAAATTTTGGGTTTAACACTCAGATTGCTCAAAAATCTTTTTTTTATGGCATAAGCCGGTAAACGAGCAGACGGATCACCTGATGGTAAGCAATCGGCGTCGCCCATGGAGACTTGGAACACCAGAGGCGTTAAAAGTGCGTTACCGGCCTTTTGGGGATTAGGAATTTGAGGATCGTTGTGATTCAGGAATTGGGGACATTGGGGAAGAGGAGGGTAATTGAGCCTCCGGTAACCTCACTCACATGACGAAACACAACGCAGGCGTTGCTTCACGTCGGTTTTCTGCGAGACCGTGGTATCATTCCGGTTGAGCCGGCCCATTTGTGCCGAAGCATGGCTCTCCCACACTTAAAATTAAACAGGTACCCAATCAGTTTTTTAGTAAACTGTTAATAAAGTGAACTGTTGCTAAAGTGTGTTCAAAACTATTTTGGCCATTATATGGTACTAGCTTTTACCCGCGGCTTCGCTCGCCCCACAAAAGAATAAAAAGTAGCCTATGTGACGTATACCAATACACACAGTGCTATCTATACCAATACTTTTGTTTTTCCTCGGGAATATCAATTTTTCCGGGTTAAAACGTACCTTATTATTTAATTCGGACTTCTAACTTTACGTCTGCAAAAATTCAAAGCAATCGGTTGAGTAGTTTCGGCGTGAAGGTGGAACAAACAAACAAACTCACTTTCAGATTTATAATATTAGTAAGGATTAGATTTTTTCGCTACATAAGTCTGAACAACATAAAGCTGGGTATGTTATAAAAAAACGTACAATGTCCTAAGAATTAGCTATTCTTAGATAACGTACTAAAAATAAAACCGATTATAACCTATAAGTAACAATAATTATAGTTTGTTTATAAAAATATTATTTCTTCTTTGAACATGAGTAATAAATTAAGATAAACATGTGCTATTATTTGTTGGGATTATTACCTACTTTGTGTCAACTAAAGCCTGAATACTGAATAGCTACGTCAATATTAAGTCGTAATTAAATATCGTGACTCTGACATTTTACCGCGGAGAACCTAACGGGTTACCGAGGCTCCGGCTCGAAGTGCAGGAGTAGGAACGGGGTGGTTTTTAGTCAGTAAGAGTCTGACACTCCCTCCTGCCTCACCCAGGCAGGAGCAATCATTAGATAATTTTCGCCCCTTAAAAAAAATCTTTGTCATGACATGAGGCGGGACTTAAAATTGTTTGAATATTTGGACATTAACTTTATACTTTCTTGTCATTATTTTGAATTAAGTTAATTAAAAAAAAATATCTGACATAAAGCTGACTTTGTTTGTTACTTTAAACGCGGGTATCTCCGGAACTGCAGGATCGTATTGAAAAAATCTTTTCGTGATTGATAGTCCATTTATCAACGAAGGTTGCATACTATAGAACATCACGCTACGACCAATAAAAGTCAAGCAGCATGTAAAAGCACCGGTGTATAACACACCTAACATTTGTTTTTTTTTAACTGTCTCTAGTCAGAAACATGGCTTTAAATCCATGCACCTTTGATCACTCCCACAGATTATAAAATGTAGTTTTATTGTACAAAAAAAAACAAGTGAAACAGGTAATATAACTGACATTTACGATCGCTTAATCGATATTGCAAAACCAGTTGCTATTGTATAAAAAGCAGTGAGTATAATATAATAGAATGACAAACAATTACAATTCTATTTTATCTTTTTAAAGTTTAGCTGATTATCGAGTGGTGATGTCTGTTGTCACCATTGACCACCTTCTACTCTTCCTGCCTTGTGTCGCAAAAGCCGACTAATATACAGGGTGGTTCAAAAGTCGTGGATCAATAGGGGTCAGATGGGGTCATCAGCTGCAAAAAGTTGTTCTACAGGAGGTCCTTAATAAAACGCACGGATTGTAGTTGGAAACAGACTAAATAATATTTTTTAAATATTCTTGTATTGACACACATGGCAGAGATCGAGCAGCAGTTCCATCTGATATCCCTGAACCCTTAATATTGCTATGTATCCTCCTGCTAAACGTGGATAGTTTGGAAAACCTAATTCTCAATAGTTCGGTAACGCACCATAAACCATTGTAAGCCAGAAAAGGTGATAAAATATCCAAATGTACCAGAAGGAAAATAAAAACCTTTTCTAAGTAACCTATTCCGACAAAGAAACCATCATCCATTCAACAATTCATATTACATTACATACAAACTATAATAAATATTACATACATTACATAACATTTAGCAATCGGTTCTAATGACTAAATAATACCAGTTCGACTGTTTGACCCGCTGTCTGTCCGATAAACGGGCTACGATAAAATACCAGTTATTGTAACTTTACTTGTATTCACTTATAATTACTGGTTCATACTAACTCCTAATTAGTGGTTTATCATGACATTAGGAACTGGTGCACTCAGACGATGTGGTACGCCGAAATTTGGTAATAGGGATGATAGTAACGACTCACAGCACTGTAGCAAACACACCCAGTCCATTGTTGGACTCATCTACATGTCTATGTATAGAGGAGTTGATTAAGAGTATTGGCACTTCGCAACCGGTTGGAACCGATGGTTAAAAAAGTTCCACGTTTATCAGTGAGTAGTCTAAAAGGAGAGTCGTGCTTCGGCATGAATGGGCCGGCCCGACCGGAGTGATACCACGGCCGAGCAAAAAACCGACGTGAAATAACGGCTGCATTGTGTCTCGTCATGAGAGTGAGGTTACTGGAGGCCCAATTACCCAATTGTGCCTCCAGTAACCTCACACACCCTCCTTCCTTCTCCAATCTCCCCAATCCCTGAACTTCCAATAATCATCAAATTTGTAATCCCCAAAAGGCCGGTAACGCACTTGTAACGCCTCTGGTGTTTCGGGCATCCGAAGGCGATGCCGATTGCTTATCATCATGTAATCCGTCTACTCGTTTACCGGCTTATCCCATTAAAAAGCTGCTGCCTAAACCGCCCGGTCTCTACCAAATGTGTAGTTCGTATAGTCTGTACTTACAATCCCTACGGAATAATACCCTTCGCCGTCACCATAATTATGACTTACTTACAAATCACCTCTAAGCCCCGAACATCAGAACAGAACAGAACAGAAAGTTTCTATAACAAATAGTTATATACGGGAACCCACAACACATTGATTACCAGCCGATTCCATCAACCTTACAGTTTGTATCAGAAGATATAAAACTTGACTGAAGAAAGACTGCCTCATTGGCCAAGTGGTGGCAAGGGCGACTGCCGGGCAAGGGGTCTCGGGTTCGATTCCCGGGTCGGGCAAAGAATTACTGGGTTTGTAAAAACCTCAGTAGTAGCATGGAGTCTGGAAATGTACCCGGTATATGACAACAGGCTCACCCCCTATTACATGGGACTCATAACATAAATACTGAAAAGTGGGTGTGTTACATTGTACAGTGGCATTAAGTGCCGTAATGTGCACCTCTGCCTACCCCCTTCGGGGATAAAAGGCGTGATGTTATGTTATGTTATGATATAAAACTTACCTTTCATATTCATATCTGGTAACCTTTGATACGATGAGGCATTTCTCCATGTTCAGCTTCGTCTCCTCTGGCACTGCTGTGTTGCCTTTCCTTCTTGAAGCATTAGGCACTACCTCACGAAGCTCCTGCTTATGTCTTAGACCTGGAACCAAGGAAGCCTTGTGTTAACTAAGAAACCATGTTAACAAAGTACTTAAACAGCTTTAGATAGTTGTAAAATGTTATTAGAGAAAGGTGTGGAATGAAAGATGATGTAGTGACAAGGATTGAAAAGGGAATGTTACGCTGGTTTGGATATGTAGAAAGGATGGATGAAAGTAAAGTAACGAAAGAAGTATACAGAGCGGATATGAATGAGGCCGTCGGAAGAGGGCGCCCTAGACGGACAAATAGGTTTTTTTTTAAGGGGGGAAAATCATCGAATGATTAAAAGTACCCTTAACCGACGAGCATGCATGAAAAGATTGATGACTGTTAATGAAGCGAAAGAAATATGTAAGAATCGTAGTAATTGGCGTTCCTTAGCCTCTGCCTACCCCCACTCGCGTCCGGGCCTAGTGCAGGCCATGATGCGGAGCGAGGGGGACTGGGATGCCGTCTCCTCCTTTTGCGAAGCAGTCATGCTAGCTAAGGAGGAGGCGGGACGCGTGAGGCAGCGAAGCGCTGCCTCCTCGCAACCCAGCCATCGCGAAGGACACACCGGGCGTCGGGGATCGCGGGACGATCTCCGGCCACCGTAAGCGCGGGCCTGCGGACGGCGAGCATGGGTGGCTCCCCGTCCGACCAGAAACAGACCCGAGCGTACGGCGCGTCGCGTTCCGCGCGCGCCTCAAAGAGCCATCAGACCACCACAGATAGGGCCCAATAGGGCCGATGCCGATTCGGAGTCGCGGAGAACCTAACGGGTAACCGGGGCTCCGGCTCGACGTGCAGGAGAAGTAACGGGGTGGTTTTTAGTCAGTAAGAGTCTGACACTCCCTTCCGCCTCACCCAGGCGGGAGCAGTCATTCGATGATTTTCCCCCCTTAAAAAAAAAAAAAACCCCAATGGGAGACAGGCGTGAAATTATGTATGTATGTATGTAAAAAACAGTATTCTTTGTCTAATTCAAAAGCGAATGTGTGTTACAATGTAAATACTTAATACATAAACAGCTCAACAGATTTAGATAAAATGCACTGTAGGTAGCAATAGGTAGGTAGTCCGAGACTGGACTATTATAATTATTACATTTCGGGGAGAAGTAATTTTTTTTCGACATTATAATATTACGTTGACCAATCAACTCAATTGCTTAGTAGTCTCATTAACAAAAACTTAATAACAACACTCTAATGTCACATGGCAATAAGGACTTTGTTTACGAACAACTATTGCAAAATTAACAGGTTACCAGCAGAAGATAAGTCCAGTTCCCAGAGATATCAGTCCGGTGCCAGTAAACAAACGATATAGAAAGGGTGTGAATGGAATATTTTGATCGATAACGTATGCAGGGCTGCCTAACGTATTTATAATCATCATTTATAGGACTGTTTCGACTGGACTTTATTCTGGAATCAATCAATAAGACAAAGTATTTAGCAGAAGAGGGTTATAATAGTAGATTTTTTTTTCAGACATAATCGTACAACTGTTGGGCGAAGGCCTCCCTACCCTCCAATCTTTGTCATAGATGTCCAATTCAGGAACTATACTGATTAAGACACACGCTTCTCATGAATGAGAATGCGGGTTCGAAACCTACCAACGGCAAGTACCAATGTGACTTTTTTCCGACTTATATGTACTTTCTAAGATTATTTAGACACCACTGACAAACGGTGAAGGAAAACATCGTGAGGAAACCTGGGCTTATAATTTCTAATTATAAGTTTGTAATGCTCAAATCTTCTCCGTGTGAGAAGAGGCTTTGCTCAGCAGTGGGCATTTATAGGCAGTTGATGACAAAAGTAAAACAAACTTCTAAGCCCTCTGTCAACCCTGACAACGAGAACGATTTATTAGCTTTTTATCAATAAGGGCACTTTCCAACGAGAACCCGCAATAATCAACACTGTCAACCAGTTTGGAGCAGACGAAAGTATTTCTTTCCGACATGTAAAGGTTATCTATTACATTAATTATCCAGTTTGGTTCAAAGTGCTGAGTTTTATGTCCGATTCGCGCGTTAATCAATAGTGATAGTCATCAAGAGACCTGTTAGAGAACCACAAAAAACCTGCCTACATTAACACACACAAACTACAAAAAAAAGCATATATACATATATATACGGTCGAATTGAGAACCTCCTCCTTTTTTTTGAAGTCGGTTTAAAACAGCGGTTTTTTTTTTAAGGGGGGAAAATCATCGAATGACTGCTCCCGCCTGGGTGAGGCGGAAGGGAGTGTCAGACTCTTACTGACTAAAAACCACCCCGTTCCTTCTCCTGCACGTCGAGCCGGAGCCCCGGTTACCCGTTAGGTTCTCCGCGACTTAAAACAGCGGTAGCACTCTCTATTAATCCTGATCTGCTACCTGGGGGCTTACTCTTGCATCCGATTCCGATCGATTGACATTAGTATGGTGAAATTTCGTACTCTTGATTTGCAACACTAGCGCCCAGTGCATCCGTATTGCATGAATATTTTAGGAACTAAATGGTATGGAGTTTGGCTTTACATTGTATTCTCTGAATGCTATTTTAGCAGCTACGATAGGGGTTGTACAGTTTTGACATAGAATAATTATTGAGATTTTATTTATTAATAAATATTGAGATTGTTTTTATTATGGAATAGGGGGGGAAACGAGCAGACGAATCACCTAATGGCAAGCGATCAGCGCCGCCAATGGACACCCGCAACACCAGAAACGTCACAGGTGCGTTGCCAGCCTTCAAGAGTAAGCACTCTAAACCTTTCAAATTGATGTATTCAACCCTTCTGCTACGCGTAGATATTACGGTAAACCCTTGTGGAGGAGGCCTGTAGTCCAACTGTGTACGCCCATGGGTTATTGACAAATAAATGAGATAGTTATATGAATCGACCAGACTAGCGCCTTGTATTAATTAAGGGCCAAATTTGTTCATACAAAAGTAGTCTTTAAACATCGGAAATAAGGTCTATAATGTAGTTAGGTGGAGAGCGGTCACCGGTGACACCCGGTGAAAGTAATTCTGTAAAATCCGTAAATAATAATAATAATTAATAAACAATTTGAAACAATCTGCCATACGTATATGTATGTATGTATGTGTGTACGTATGTATGTATGTATGCAGAAACGATAATTAAAAATGTGGTTGTGGTACTGAAGTTACTTCAGCTTTACTTCTATTAACGTCTAAAGCATAACAAGTGCAATGCCTTATTATATTTATTCGGTAGTGGTCGAGAACATTACCACAGGGCAATGTTTCACAATCGCTGACAAAATATTTGTTTGTAACCTCTAATGCGACCACGGAAAGTTTATTTGTCACAAAAATATTACTCGGTACTCATTTATAATGATAATTTTCCACTGCAACGTAAAAACAACAAACAAATAGAATATTTGTCACAAGGGCACTATTTGTTTTATCGTATTTTTCTAGAAATACCGATATCTATCACAGTGGTTAGTGAGACTAGACTTAACTAATAAAAACAGGAGATATAATATCGAGGGGTAACGGACTATTTGGTTTAAGCAACATTTTGGGCGATATTGAGTTATTATATATATTCGACGGAGAAAAATTCGCTGATTCCGAATATATATATCGACCAAAATGTCGCTTAAACCAAATAGTCCGTTACCCCTTGATATGGTTTATGGTATAAGCCGGTAAACGGGCATACGCATCACCTGATGGTAAACAATCGGTGTCGCCCATTGATACCTGGAACACCAAAGGCGTCACAAGTGCGTTACCAGCCTTTTAGGGATTGCGAATTTGAGCATTGTTTGGGATTTAGGAATTGGGGAGAATGGGGAAGTGTGGGGTAATTGGGCCTGCGGTAACCTCACTCACACGACGCTATACAACGCAAGCGTTGTTTCACGTCAGTTTGCTGTAAGGCCGTGGTATCACACTGGTCGAGCCGGCCCATTCGTGCCGAAGCATGGCTCTCCCACATTTAAACTACGTAGTGCAGAAGTATGTGTGCTATTACAGGTGCCATCTCTGCTCTCTAAATTCCATGTCATCAGACAAGTTATTTATATGCAGGGGGCCAATTCTCGGCTTTAGAGATGATGTCGAACTCGACAAAAATGTCTAATGACGTCATTTTTTCGTCAAATTTTAAAAGTTGCTATTCTGGAGATGTCGAATGCGACATTTGTCGAAGGCTAACGTTAGAGTTCATGTCGAGTGCTTCTGAGCAGTAGAGATGGCATGTCGATTGTAGAGATACTGAGATACGCCATTTCTGTGAATTCGTTGAGTTTCGAATTGTACAGTGTTTTCTTTTCTTTCGTTTTAAAGTAAAATACGGCTTGGCATCTTATAAGTATGAACATTGGAAATTCAGTATAGACTCTTCAATTTGTGTATTGTGTTTTCTTGAAACGACGACCTTCGCGTAAATTTGTGTACCCACGATTGGACTTGAAACTTGAAACATGGACGAGTTTATTAATATTTTTATCTTGGAGATGTTGGAAAGTGGCGAGCGACTGGCCAATACACGGCGGCAACAGCGCACTTATCCCGTCGTCGGGATAAGTTGGGCACTAGGGTATTTTTTCTCTCCCTGCATATTAAAACGAAAAATTATAAAAATGTCCAACAGAATAGCCCACTAGTGAGTGATGATGAACTTATAAAAGTTTTGAAACAACCGCTTACAGATCCAAATTGTGACACTGACAGACAGTCAACTGGAACTGTCCTGTCAAACTGAATATTTTTGCACTAAACGTTCCGTCTTAACTTAAATAATTAGGTTTAGTGAACGTTTTATGACAAAATCATTCATTCACTCACAACTACCTAAAATGGAACGTGCGATTCTGCATAATGGTAACATTATCTTCACTCGACTCGACATTTTCGTGACATTTGTTTCTATTTTGACTGAGAATACGGATTTCTGTGCAATTCGACATTTTTTGGTAGAGATAGAGATATTTTTGATAGACATAGAGATAGACTTACAATGTCGAACT